ATATCTCACCCTGCAGCCACCCTGCTGTGTCGGAAGCTGGGAGCCAGGGTCAGCTGTGCTCCAGAAAGGGTGAGCAGGCTCAGGGGCTGCAGGGGCAGCGGCAGGACTGTCACAGGGCACCAGAACAGCTGGGGACTCTGAGGGGCTGTGAGGGGATGGAGCCCACCACCGCCCAAGGCTGCACCCCTGGGTCTTCCAGATCTAACTCCCTGGTCCAGCACTGCAGGCCATGGACCACCCTTCCCATCCTCCTGCTCCACCACAGGGCTCCCTGTGCCCACCCCACTGTCCACCACAGAGCCAGGACAGCTTCCCCAGGTGTGGACTAGCCCGGCACCAGGATCACCCCTAGCTGGAGGAACAGGCCCTGGCAGGGTATTCTGACAGTCACTCAGTGCCAGCCAGTGTCCCTGGGCTCAGAGTGGAGCTGCTGGCCTTGGGTGACTGTGGCAGCCCTTCCCAGCCCAATGCAATACCAACAGTGACACTGGAAAAATCCTCATAGATCCAGCTGCCCACCCCAGGGCCTGCAGGAGATCCCTGCACCCCATTCCTGGCACAGTACGCTGGGAATGTGGAAGGGTTCCTCCACAGGCAGCCACATTCCAGAGGGCACGGGGGATTTCCTGGGAAGCCCTGGCCACCACTGTCACTGTCCTGCCTGCCTTAGCCCTACAGCCACCTGGATCTGGCTTGGTGAGGTAAAAATGCCTGGAGGGAAGGACAGTCACTGCTCAGGGAGGAACAGCTGGCCAGTCCTGGAAGGCCCTCAGGGACAGGGCCAGCACTCACAGCACCTACTCTGGGCAGTTCCATCACAGGGGTACCTCCCTCCTGAAGGAGTGGCCACTTCATAGACCCACACGTGGGCTGGAGATGGATAGAGCACACTGGTCAGGCCAGAGAGGAGACCAACACCTGGACTCCACGGCAGGGCACCTGGCTGCAGGCTGTCCCCTGGACTGCAGGAAGAGCCTGGCCTGGGCCACCCACGCCCCCACCCACTGACACTTGTCCAGGGCCTGGCCCAGAGGACCAGCACACTGAGGCCCTCTGTGGCCCCCAATACCCTCCTCCCTCCGCGGGGACCAGCAGTAGGAACTGCTTCGCCCCTGCCCTCCTCCCCACTCTCCTAGTTCACACTCCAGCAGAGGCCAGCGCCAGAGTCCTGGCCAGCTTTGCCTGGAGCCTGGGTAAGAGCAGGGAGCCCGGAGCCCAGGGGCAGGAAACCACACAACCCCACCCCAGAGAAGGGGCCCAGGGCTGGGCGGTCACATGGGCAGCTGGGGCCCGGCCTAAACACAGAAGAGGTGCAGGTCTGCGCCTGCCAGAGGGCCAGGGAAGAGACTCCAACTCACCAGGAGCTTGGGTAGGTGCCTGGGGATGGGCGGGCTCTAGGAGAGCAGGGAGCAGCTGGAGTGTGGCAGGAGGGGCAGAGCCTGGCAGGCAAGGGCCAGGGGCGGGGAGTAGGAGAGGGGGCGGGGGGGCAGGGGGGGATAGGAGGGAGGGGCTGGGCCTAAGAGGGTGTGGCTGTGTTGTGGGCAGGGCATGCCAGCTGAGGTGGGGCCTCGGGGAGGTAAGGAGCACTAGAGCAGGGCCTAGTAGGGCGGGCGGGGTCCTGGGTAAGGCCAAGCAGATAGGGTTGGATGTAATGGCTGAAGTAGTGCAGTTGATGGTAAGGGTTAGGCCTTGGGCGGGGGGCAGGGGCCGAGAAGGCAGGTCACAGGGCTCTGCCAGAGCAGAGCAAGGCCCAGGGCAGGTTCATCAACCCCCTGGGTGGAGGGCCAAGGTGCAAGTCCATCGTCCACATCCATCAGTCAGAGGTCTGGGCCAAAGGCTAGGAATGTGGGACAGCTCTGTGTAGCCAGGAAGCCACTGGAAAGGGCTGCAGGGAGTGTGCGCGTCCAGCTCCTCCCTGGACGGGAAGGGCCGGCTCCTGCTCCCAACACACACCCAGAACCCAGAGGAAAGGGCCCACCAGATGGTGATGGTCCCTGGTATGTGAGGGGAGGGCACTGTGGCCTGGGCTGGGTGAGGGAGGAGCTGCACCTGCCTTGGGTAGACAGGGGTCCCTCTTGACCTCCCTTCAATCTGCCCTCCACACTCCCCAGGTCGTGGCTCCCTGCTCACAGAGTCCTACCAGGATCATCATGAACCACACTACATCCCGTGGGACCATATATCTAGGGAGGTGGATGCCCCAGGCTGAGTGCTCACTCCTAGAGGCCACTCTTTTCCTACGGGGGTTACTGGGGGAGCTGCCAGAGGCCAAGTCCCTTATGGCGGGGTGGCTTCTGTGGACTCCTGGCCTCTGAGCCTGCCTGTGCCTCTGCCGAGCAGAGGCCCTGGGGAGGGCACTCGCTCCCAGCATGACACCCCCCATCTCCTTCCCCTCCAGGGTTCCCTCCACCTCCTCCTTGGCAAAGCCAGCAGCCATTTGTCAAATGAGCCACATGGACAGCTCCATGGGGTGCCACTTCCACCACATCTCCTAGATTGGGTACTGCTTGGCCCAGGGCAGTGAGAAAGATGCCAGGGAGTGAGGTCGCCCAGGGGTTGTGGGAGCCTGTCCAAGTCTCAGTTCCTACCTGCCAATTAGGGGACGTCAAATCTGGGTCATCTGTGCAGAGGAACTGGGCCATGACACCAGGAAACACTGTCTGAGCTGAAGATGAGAGCCACCCCAAGGCCACTGTCATGTCCTCTGCACCCTGGGGACCCTTGAGGATGGATCACACTCGGTTCCCAGCCCAAACCATTGCTCATCACAGGCAACACTGGCCCCGACTCCCCTCGCTGTCCTGGCCAGCCTGTGGTCCCAGCAACTCTGCAGGGCTCAGTAGACTTGGAACCGCAGGCAAGGATCTGGGAAGTTCCAGAACCATCCGGCAGAGTCTGGCCAAGGCGTGAAGCCCAGGCTTCTCAGGTGTCAGCAAGCCCCAGAACCCCCAGAGGACCTGTGGAAACATGGTGGCCCTGGCACATCCAGGAGGCCCAGCCAGGGTCCAGCAGTTCCCAGGGCTGCTGACAGCTGCCCAGGGACTCCACTGGGAGGACCATGGATCAAACAGTGTAGCTAGGGGAGCATCCCCTATCCTGCACGAGCCGGCATCTCTGCATCCTTGAGGGGAAACACCCCAAGGTCAAATAACTGCAACATCCAAGGACTGGTGGAAAAGCAGGCTGGGTGCCACTCCAGTGTGGCCACACAACAGGGGAGGTCAGCTCGGTGACTGTTGCCCTCCAGAAGACAAGGGTGCTGGGGAGACGGCTACCGAGAGGGTGGCCACGGGACAGGGAGTGGCTAAGCTACAGAGAGCAGCAATGGGGAAGACGGGGCCATGCCAGCCCTGGAAGGTGTTTGGTTCCCACGCACAAACCAACTGTGGCAAAGTCTCCAGACAACGGAGCAACAGTGTGTGCTGTGTGACGAGAAACGCTATTGACTGAAGCGATGACGGCCAGGAGGTTTAGTGAGAAAATGTTCACATTTGCATTTTGTTTTTTTGAGTCCACATCCAAAAGTCTACAGGGCCCATGACTGAGGTCAGTGTGCAACCAGATACTTCACCCAAAATGAGAAAGAACAAGAGAAGGGGCCAGGGATTTAGCTCAGTGGTGCCACAGCCTGCCTCGCAAACGCAAGGTCCTGAGTTCAATCCCTGATACAAAAGAGAGAGAGAGAGAGAGATGGAGAGAGAGAGATGGAGAGAGAGAGATGGAGAGAGAGAGAGATGGGGGAGGGAGGAAGGAAGGAGGGAAGGAAGGAAGGAGGGAAATAAAGAGAATAGAGAAGGGGGAGGACAGTGCAAGGGAGGAGGAAAGGAAGAAAAAGAAGGAAGGGATTGGACAGAAGGGAGAAAATGAGCACACGGAGCAGGATGGGGACTCTTTGTGCTGAGTGCCGGGGTGAGGAGGTGGGGTGCTCACTGCTCTTTCCACGTTTCAGTACGTTGGAAATTTTCAGATTAAAAGTTCCGTTTGAAACACGGCATCAGCACATGACCATACCATCCGGGCAGCAAACAGGAAAGGCTAGAAATAAGCCGACACGCGTGCCACACTGCTCGTGCTCAGGGAAGGCGGGACTGGAGATGGAGGAGGGACGTGCTGGGAAGCGGTGTGGACACACGCACACAGGAAGGCTTCGGCTCCACCCAACGGCTCCAATAGCCACACTCGGAAAAGGACGCTGGAGGTCTAGGACATGCCAGGACGTCTCTCGGAGCAGAGAAGTCCTTTCTGTTCATTTGAACCCTGAGAAAATACGGACTGGCAACCACTCGTGACGCACAGAAGCTAAGGTCACAAGACTCCCACCTTATGTGAACACTACCACACCCCCAATCATCCGAAACACAAGACAGATCTCGCTACCTACATTTTAAAAATTCTCCAAGCAAAATCCTAGTACACACAATTAACACAATAAATTGAGGAAAAAAATATTTTCAATCCATCCTCCAAAGTATTGTTTCCTTTCTTAAAGAGCTTCTGTGCACCAATAAGAAAGCAGCCAGCGCCCTGGCAGAAACACTGTCACAGACACCAGACGAAGGCGGGCGACACGCAGGAGAGAAATGCTGACTGAAACCACAGTGGACACCTCTCAGCAGACGGTGAGGGCGCAGGGGCAGTGGGCACCACGCACATCCCACAGAGTGGGGTTAGCACGGCAGGGAGCACCCACCACCACGCACCCACATCAGCTGGCAGCACAGCCCGCGGGTCCAGCCGAGAGGCAGCATCCACCGTGACACCCGCCCCTCGGGCACCAAGAGTGACATTCTGCGTGTACCTGGGGAAGCCCAGGACAGCAGATGACATGGTTCCCACTGCAGCAGGGGCAGCCTGGGCTGGGGAGACCCCCAGTGCCCTTATGACACGACACTGGGCTTTGTGCAGGAGGTGGGGCAGCTCTGCCACCACCTGCTGGGGACCCTGAGGAAGTTACGTCCCTCGCTTCCTCCCATCTGGGGACAGGGCGGGGGGACACTGACCTGTGGCCTCTCTGTCCCCTGCCTCCTGCAGCATCTTCGGGTGAGGTGGACCAAAGGTAGCCTGGCGCCCGTTGCCACGGCAGCCAAGGACTGAGAGGCAGGAAACTGAGGCGGAGCCAGTGCTGCCACCTACAGAGGATGCAGAGCTGCCTTGAGATCCTCGAACCATGGCTCCAGGACACACACCAATGGCTCCAGTCCGCCCAGACCGTAGCACACGACAGCCTGCAGGGCCTTGTGGCTCTGGAACCAGGCCCCTCAGGACTCCCACTCCAGCCCAGGACCCCAGTGACTCCTGGGCCCCACTGCTTCCTGAAGGACCCCAGGACAGGTGCTCCCCACCAGCTGGTCACCCCAGGCCCCGCTCCGGGTGTCACTGTTGGCTCACCCTATCCTCCACCTTCCTAAGCAGGAAAGATGGATCCCGCTCCACAGAAAGGGAAACAGGCCCAGAACTACAGACCTTACACAGTTTAGTGTAGGCTTAGGCTGAACCCCAAACGGATAATCCCAACTCCCACCTTGTCCCTTCCACACTCTCCCACCTGTGGGAAGGCCCAGGACCCACGGCAGGACTCTGCTCCCGTACCCCGGGGTGGGGCCCCCTGGATGGACCATTCCTGGCAGTCAGGCCAGGCTGGGATCTGTAGCCTTTTGGCCCTGGCTGTGCAGTAGTGATGATTTCCCACTGGGGACACCGTGTGGGCTGCTGCGGGGAGCACACTGTCCACCTCGGCTGCTCAGCAAGTCCCATGGGCCCCATATAGGGGAGACAAGGCGCAGAGCAGGCCCAGTGGAGGCCACACCACCTTCCACCTCATCCAGAAAATCCCCCTGCCTCTCCCACAGTATCCCCATCACCCTTACACAGCTCTGGGGCCACACATGGGGCTACTGAGGCCAGACAGCCGCATGAAGCCCTGGTGTCTGCCGGGTCACCAGCAGGCAGCCCCAGGGAGTAGTGGGGCCCTGCCCCTCAGGCACCCACAGGCCGCTGGAATCAGCCCCTTGCTGACCCCATCCCAATGCCCCCCCGGAATCCAGCTCCTCCCACAGGCCAGCCAGTTTAGGTACCACCATGACCACACCTACAAATACTCTCCACTGCTCCCCCACGTGCTGTATGATCCCTGTGTTGCCGCCTCCGGGCCCTTTCTTGTGCATTTCCCAGACCCAGCTTCAGAGCTGTGAGTTCCCAGAAACATCTCCAGCCATGCCCTCAAGAGCCCACCTGCCACAGGGCTGCTTCTCTGTCCACCAGAGTGTCACAATCAGCGCACCTCTGGCCGCCCAGAGCTCTCCACGGGCCCTCCTGCCTTGCTGGGGTGGTCCAGAGGAAATACAGGTTGCAGGGTCCCTGCTAGGACCCCACCCCAAAGTGCCCTGTGGAGAACAGCCAGGCCAGTGCCTTCCCTGCCGCCCGGGCCACTGTCCACGGCTGTGCTAGCACCCCCGAGGGCCTCAGCTCGAGTCGCACCTCTTTCCGAAGGTCCAGGCCTGCATGGGCAGGGCTGGTACCCACAATGTTTACAGGTTGGGCTGGCCTCGGGGACGCAAATCTTCATGGAGCTCAGTGGGGTCCCTACTGCAGAAACAGCACAGGTAAGTCCCACCTGGGTGGTCACATGGGTGATCTGAGTGTCAGAGGCCCGAAGAGTCCCATGGGCAGAGGACGGGGGAGGTCCCGAGATCTGTGTTACCTTGGGAGGTACCCCCTCCCCATACCCCCGAGCACCCTCCAGCACCTCCCCTGCACCCCCAATACCTCCGGCATCCCCTAGCACCCTGCCCAGCACCCTCCCTAGCACCCTGCCCAGCACCCTCCCTAGCACCCTCTGCCTCCTCCTCCACCTCCTCCTCAAGCCACTCTTTAGCAGCGTTGCCAAGGCAACTGGATCCAGGGAGAACTCTCTTCAAGGTAGAGTCTGAGGGTGACACTGGGAACGGAAGTGGTGGTGACAACAGCAGTCGCTGGCCTCCCACCCACCCCCACTCCTCCAGCACCTGCCGGCTGTCCAGTGCCACCTCCCCACCCCATCCAATGCCTTCCAGTTGCCCTGCACTGGTTCAGCCAGTCCCTGTCCTGCTCCCTCCCCTGTCCCCGAGGACAGGGCTGGGCCTCCCCAGAGGTCTGCACCCCTGCCCACCTGGCACCCCCCCCCGTACAGCCACTGTCTCCAAGCTGGGCCCAGGGATCATGGGCAGCCCAGCTACAGAGGCCTGGGCACCTGTGCTTCACCCCTGAAAGATGCTGAAAGCCAGGGGATCCTGCAGGGATCACCATCCAGGCCTGGGGACAGAGGTGGCAGGAGCAAGAGAGGCTAAGGAGGGGCGGGGGGCCAGGGGTGCAGGCAGGGGAGGCTTGGGGGGCATGGTGACAGTAGACAGGTCACCTACAGTCCCTGGAAGTGTCCTACGGGCACAGCACACTGCTCACAGGAAGATGGAAGCTGTGGGTGGGGAGCGTGGTGCAGTCCTGGGACAGGAGGAGGAGCCACGGGGCCTACGAGCTGGGAGGTGGAGGACAGGGAGGAGGACCAGGCAGGGAGGCCAGGCTCAGAGTCAGACTCAGCCCTGGGACTGAGGGAGCCTGGGCCAGATGGCTGCGGGCGGCAAGTGCGTGGGAGGTGAGGACGTGGGTGAGCAAGGACAGGTGCTGCTTTTGCTGCGTCTACTATGCAGCCAGCCTTCCAAGGAGCACTTCCTCCAGGGCCAGGCACCATGCACATGCACGGTGCAGGGACCTGCAGGCCGGCGGGTGCAGTGGGGAGGGGCGCGGGGCCGGGCCAGGGGTGCTCCTCCTCAGCCTGGCCTCGACCGCTAGGGTCAGCCGCCGGCCCTGGTCACCATGCACTCTGACTCCCTCTACGCCCCTGTAGACAGGCAGGCAAGACCTCCTGGGCAGGTCATGCCCAAAGGCCCCCACGTGATTCTTAGAGCCCCCTGAAGTCTCTGCGACTCCCTCTCCACTGTCCTCCTAAGGCTGCGGGGCCGTGACAGAAGCACCCAACCCCTCCCTGGCAGGTGACACTATGAGACCCTCTCGGTGCCCAGGACCTGAGGCCCTGACTGAGCTCTGAGCTCCTAGCAGGTCAGAACTCCCCAGGGCACAGGACAACCACAAGGTAGGTAGCACCAACCCAGGCCAGGCCAGGCCAGGGCACTGCATACACCCTCTTGCACCCACAGCCCAGGGCCCCCGTGCCCACCGTCACCCACCAGTGCCTCCCTCCCTTCCTGGGCCTGCCCACTCCCCTGCTGAGCACCCTCCCTGCAGGGCCAGGTGGGCAGAGGCACTGACAGTGGTCTGGAGACAAAGGGGTAGGGAGGCTGGGTTGACCTGAGGCCCTCCTGCCCCTCCCCTCCTCTAGCCAGGGCTCTCTGGGGTGCAGGGACTCAAACCCTTGCTCTGCTCCCCGAGGCGCCCTGGAAGCAAGGGGTTCTGGGGCTGACCACCAAAAACCAAACCCAGCGCCCCAGTGTCCCCCAGCTGTCCAGAGCCCCAGCTTCCCAGTGCTTCCAGCTGTCCAACGCTGAGCCCTACAGGTGGCGACAGTTGTGCACAGGGACCCCTGGGTCTCTCCTGCACCCCGGACTCCACTGTACCACCAGGTCTGTTCCTTCCATGGCCAGGGGGCTGGCCCGGCCCCTCCCACTGGGGGCTACAGGTGCAGGTGCAGCCCTGTCCACCCTGCTGGCCATGGGCCACTGCCTGGTACCAGTGTGGGGGCAAACTGTCCCCTCCCCCTCTCCCTCTCCTCCTCCCCCTCTCCCTCTCCTCCTCCCCCTC